GTTTTTTTTATATATTTCAGACTGTAGTCTACCTTAAACGACAGAAACATGACGATGACTGTCGAGACTGCCCGATGACTGACCCACGCCCGCCCAAACGAGGATGAGGGACTGACTGAGGACTTTTTCTGTCTAAGTGAAAGTTGGCCCCCGGCCCCATTTTAACGCATTTTTGCTGTCAATCAAACATGACAATTCACAGATACCCTGTCCAATCTCCTAGGAAGTTAAAATTGAGAGCACCCTATGAGTTAAACCAATACACCCCTTCCCCGCACCGGGTGTGTGGGGATAGGAAAAATTTTAATGAAGTTTTTAAGTTTCGTCTTGGCCCTGCACCCAGTTTACTCTTTTTGTTTTTCTGTGTTGTAAGTAAATTTAACATTTTTAAACTGTTACCCTGTCATTCAGATTGTTAATAAATGCATCTGTGTTTTAAACACATATGACATAGATAACTATGACAATCTTCCACAAAATCTTGCTATAATTTCTGTGACAGATGTCCTGTTTCAAATGTTTTCACAGTTTGACTCCTCTCAGTTGTGTCTCTCTGATAGTAACAACGTTTGTGCCGCACACTGATTTCTTCGCTGACTTTACTGTTGTGAAGTAAACATTATCTCCATCAGGCTGCCTTTGAATCATCATTCTTCTCTTCTATTATCTAGCTCATGTCTTCTCGTCCTCCATGCCACCTGGCATGTCTGTTCAGTTTTCCATCTTTGACACTGTCAGTCATTTCCAACACAGATTGTCTTCCATGACATAATGTCAAACATTTTCTCTCTAGGTTTCCATCTGCCTCTCTAATCTACAGATTTTCTACTGTCACATCCATAATGTAGCTCTTTACGCCATGTGTGTCAATCCTCAGCCTGCAGTCCTCAAGAAGGAATTTTTTTCTTCAAGTATAAAAGTATGGGAATCATTTCCTTAACCTGGTACTCCAGTCGATCCAGTCTCATTTCTGATACAGACGACAGATGTTTATCCACGCTACGACGCCAGAATGTCATCGCCTGTCTTGGTCTTTCTCTGCCCCTACAGCTTTTATGTTGTCATGACATACTCCCATTTTCCATTTCTCATCACATGCCCTATATAATGTGGATCCTCTTCCTATGATGGGGGTAACTTGCTCTCTTTGGTAGTTTATTTCTCTCAAGACAGCTCATAACACTTTTTATCTGTTGATGGTGTTTTCATCAATTATCTAAAAAAAAAAAAAACACACACATCACCATGGCTTCCACACCATTTCTCACTAATCTGCAAACTGTACAAAATTACCTCTTGTAAAAAAGAGTATAGGCTCTTAATAACTCTTTGAGTCCCAAGGAATGAGCTAATTTGTTACAACCGCCTGGCCGAATCAACTCGTGACAATAGAAGGTTTTTATTTACTGCTGACCGGTTATAAAACTCGCACCGCTCAATTTCAACTTCCTTTTGAGTTCTTTGGGTCCGATATCAGTCGTGCTTATTTAAAATCGTAGTCTGACAGCCCAAAATATAGTATACTTGCGAGATTTACTGAGTTACTAACCGTTTGTTTGAAAGGAATCTGGCCACCAAGCAGTATTCTACATGCATGCCAACACCATTTATGGCTTCAAAAGCCTCAGATTTATTTCAAGTATGTGTTTATTTGATTTATCCAAAGTTAGATAACGTTGCGAATTAGACATGTTTCAGTCATTAATAGAGACAAACTTTGATGAGGGATATGTCTAATGTGTACCTCACGCGAAGGTTCAACCATAGCAAAGTCAGTTGGCACAAATGTCAGTTAGTTCTAGTGCTATTTCCCTTATTATTTAAAACAAAGCTACAGAATTACAGGCAAATTGAGTGTTATACAAACTTCGTTTTGTGTGAAGATACTTATTGTTTTGGGAGAAAGTTTACCAAATAATGGTGCTCTGTTATGATGCTTCAAAAAATTCTTTGGAACGAAATCTAACGTAAAGATTGAGTTTATATTTTACTTATAAATTACTAAGTGGTTTATATTCATTTGTGATTCATTTTGGACATATTTTAACCAGTTTTCAATGGTGGAAAGTGGAATTTTTATATTTCATTTCACTAATTTTTGTAAACATACCGCCTGTATATGTATTAATATATAATCACTAATGCAATTACTTTATGAGGCTGTTTCCATGCCATGATGATGTCAAAGTTTTTAAAAGAAGCTATTTGTTTCTAAACCCCTAATAATTTGTCAATTCTTTTGTTTTGTGCTTCTAAATACAGTGACACCAACCAGTCTGTAGACTGTGCAGATGCAGCCAGAACCAAAGCTGTTATACAGGTCAGTGGCTACTGTCCAAAGACCTTGTGTCATCAAAAACCCATAAAAGCCAGAAAAGTGGCTCTCTCTCAGGCTGACAGGGTTAAGCCCTAAACTCTGAAGGTCATGGGTTCCTTTCACAGATGGTGTTGTCTGGGTCACCAGTGCAATCTTTATGGAACCTCAGGGGATCACTGCTGGAGCTATGGAGTTTGTACTTTGTGCAAAGCTCTCGGTAGATGGCTAGCTGTTCTTGAAGAGATCAAGTCACATGGAATAAAATCTGGTGCAACGAAGTCAATGATATCAGCTTTAAACTGGAACTTCTTGAATACAATTTCTGTGTCCTTTTATCAAGCTCCTGTACACACAGACCTGCTTCAACTAGCTCTATTTACTTAAATGCTGTATTCTCAACTGATCAATCAGTTTGTTCCTTCAAGGCTGCTATGTAAAAGTTTACCATACTGTCTTGAAATTAAAAATTCTCAATTTGGACAGTAGATCAACAATGTAGATCCCATATGTCCCGTTCAACCATCACATAAGTTATAATTATGGCACCTGTAACAGTTACACCAGTCAGGTTAAACCGGAAATCCTGTACGGGTAAGGACAAGCATTCTAGGGCATTACTTTGACCCCCTGGTAATTGCAGTAACTCTTCCACTGTTGAAGCCCTTTGTTTTGACTTTCTGTTACAGTTCTGTCTATTATTTCTTGTAACTATATTTCCTTCTCAATGCTTTTTATCACGCTATGCCCACCAACTTTATTCCTAGCATACCTTGCAAACATTTTGTAACTGTTTAATTCTCTTTTTTTAAAACTCTGCTCAAATCATTTTATTGCTGATTTTATATGTTAATGTTTATTTGTTGAATGATAAATGTTGAATTAAGAATTGACATCACAGCACTCAGGATACCCCATAAGCGCCCCGTCCCCATCTCCAGCAGCAAGCGAAGAGTTAAAATCCGATGGTAGCAGTAACTGTCTGTCTGAATGTTTATTTCTACTGACCTGCATAAATTGCTTGGTGTTGGGATGCTCCATGTGATAGTGAATTATGTTCTTGCAGTGACCACATTTCACACTTTCCGCTGCTTCATTGGCCAGCTGTGTTGAGAAGACAAAAATCTGACTTTGATGTTGCAGCAGTGGCTCTTCGAGATAAGAGCCTTCCTGAGACTTAAGTGGTGTTTGAGAATCTGGAGCTGTTGTCGGGGAGAAAGAGCCAATGGCAGGCTGAACTTTCTCTTTTTTGACAGAGCCTGTCTTTCTATTCCTTGCCTTGTCACCTGAAATTGAACATCATTACTGTTATCATGTGTAAATATGTATTATTTACACTGGACAACGTATGCATACACACAAAAAGAGCAGATCTCCTACATTTATGGTCCCCATGCGGGATTCCGGGGCCCCATTGTTGGGGGGGGGGGGGGGAATGGTTAGACCCACTTTTAAAAAAGCATAAGCATTCTTTGTTTCAGGTAACTGTTGATTGTTACTCTGACAAATCAAAGACTACACTTCTAAAAGTTTTCCATCACATTCCAAATGTCACTACCATAGCAGAACTGGGAGACACCACTGTTTAGTGACTAGACACTTGCCTGCAAATCGGACTGTCATGGATTTGATGTCAGTCCAGAGAAACAGGGAGAGACTTGAGAGAATCTGCAAAATACAAGACAAAACTAAATAATTCCTAAGCCACTAGTGGAGGCACCTATGTCTAGCGAGCTAGATTTATCAATATAAAAGCTGAAAATTAGAAAGTCACCTGGAATTTATGGAATAACCAACGAAAAGATCAACAACCTAGGGACAACAGCCAAAACTAAGCTGCTACAGATCTTTAACCACTATTGAACCGGTGGTAAAGCTTCCCAGATATGGAGAAACAACCATGATACCGCTCCTTAAACCAGGAAAGGACAGTTCCGACGCCTCCAGCTACAGACTAGTCATCCTTACCAGCTGCCTCTGTAAAACAATGGAACACACTGTCAACCTTAGACTCCAATGGTACTTGGAAAGTGAAAACATCTTCACGTCACAGCAGGCAGGATTTAGACAGTGCCACTCCACAGAAGATCAGACAACTTACCAAGAAATTGAGGATGCCTTCCAGGAATAAAAGCTGTTTCTTGCTGCATTGATAGACCTGAAGAAACCCTCTGACAAGGTCTGGAAAGAATGTCTCATGAAGAAACTGAGAAACCACCAAGTGAATGAGAATATGTACAAATGGGTGAAAGCATACTGATATAACAGAAGAGCCTGAGGACAGATAGACGGACTCAAGAGCAAGAAAGTTTTGCTGCACCATGGTGTCCCTCAAAGTGGTGTCCTGTCCCCAACTCTCTTTCTAGTCTATATCAACAACCTAGTTTCTGAACAACCCCATGGAATTAAAGCTGCAATGTATGCTGGTGACTTGATACTATGGTGCGCAAATGAATATGCAATAGTGGCCACCAGACTGCTGCAAAGAGTCATTGATGCAATGAGCTGATAAATGATGTGTCAGCATCAACAAAGGCAAATGTAGCACCACCCTTTCTTCAAACAAAAATCAGGCTGCATTCACATAAAGGAGTATCTCTGGTCTGAGAGAGGATAAGGTGCCCACATACCTGGGAGTAACACTTGATGACAGGTTAACATGAAGAAAACACATCAACAAGACAGCAACAAAAGCTTGAAAGAAGGTAGCTATTCTGAGAAAACCAAGTGGAACAACGTGGGGTGTTAGTGGGAAAAAAAATACTTAGGAAAGTTTATCAACAAAGTGTTCGACCATACCTTGAATGGATCAACAACATGGAGTTCAGCATTTTTTTTTTAAAAACCACACTACAAGAGTTAAATAAAATACAAAATCAAGCACTCATAGAATCACAGCATGTGGTATGAAATCAACACCTATAGCTGTGATGAAGAAAATGGGGATGACCCAAGCACTGAGTAAAGGCAGAAATACCAAGATGCTAATATAAGCAGACAAGTTTCTTAGCCTGCCTCGTCACTCTGTCGTGGAATGATAAGCCATTACACATCACCCCTAAGAGTGGGGACTTGACTTACCTGTGCTCGACACAACATTCAAACTTGGACTCGTCCAGAAAGGTATATAGTCCCTTATATCGATATATGCCTTTATCGGACATAATTATAATGTCTACATCTTCTAGTTGCTTTGACTTAGCGTCATTTTCAAATTTGCAACTATTTGATAAATATTACTGGAGTTATTTGAGGTTTCTTAGAAACCGATTTACTCCTTGCTCATGTATACAAGGAACTTCTTATTACCGACGCCCGCATTGAGAATTTTGCGCCATTCTTTCTGCCGGCTTTCCTAGCGTTCAGATGTATGCATCGACGCCAGAAAATCTCACTTTCAGAAGGCGATCTGTAATGTCGAGGACTTTTCCTATGCTTGGGATGAAACCTATGTGAAGAGCTGGCAGAAAAATCACAGTCCAACCAATACCCACCATCAATCAACCAATTACGAACCAATTATCACCCAACTACCACTTGTGAAGACTGACATCATCAGTTTGGGGTGCCATATACCCCAAACATCCTACAGTGCCAGAGCATGTGTGTAGCTCAGGGACAGTGCTGCGAATGACTAGTGGGAGAGATTTGTTAAGTGCCTATCCGATTGCTGTGTCCTTTATGGTGAGGTACTCCTCCATCTGATCCAGTTGAAGCAGAATTACCAAAGACAGTCGAATCATCAGGAGCTGAGGGAAGCATCAACGATAGAAAGAGGATAAGTGCCAGTTAATGCCATGTTTTGCTATATTCCCCACAGCTCCCATGTTTCCCAAGGATGAAGATGTGTCATCTCCAAGACTTTCTGGCTGTTTGGTTGTCTTTGTAATCTGGACATTGTATTCTGGGATCCAGCTATTGAGATCTGGCATCTACTTCACTATTATATATATATGTATATGTTGTATTGATTACATGCATTCATTTTCATGGCTGACTTAGGTGTCTCTATTTCACCTTTCTAAGTGTTTAGCATTGTTGTGTGTATGAGTCATAAAAATTATATGTGTTAACATGGTTATGATAATGAACTATCATAACCTGGGGGCTTTCTGTAGTAAGTAGTGGGGGTGTCCAGCCAAGTGTGCCTAGGAATATTGTATTCATATACAGATATATTTTATAGTGCCAATACTTGAGTTGCCCTACTCCAGAGATAAGTTGAGCGTATATTGGCCACGGGGAATCCCTTAGACCAATACGAGCCAAACGACTCAACATAATTATTTCTGAGTGCTGCTGGTTCTGAAGGAGAAATCCTTACATCAGGCACGTGACAGGAGTGATATGTGACACACTCTATGAATAACAGATTTCAAAATCTAGCTTTGGGGTGACTAAAAGGAAGCAGTTTCATCCACCAAACCAAACGGCTCAGCAGACAAACCACTGATTTGCCTGCAACTGATAGATCCTTAAATGCTGTCCCAGAACGGACCCCTGGAGAGAGGAGTATAAGTTTCCAATACACATCAAGACAGAAGTGAAAGGATTATTTGACTAGGAAGAAAAAAAAACAGTGTGCAGCGCAAAACAGCCACCCTCAGTCTACTTGATGATGAATGCCGCAGAATCTTGTTTACATAGATGGGTCAGCACAAAATGCAGTCAGAAATGGAGGAGTAGGAGTGTACATAGAGCACCCCAATAATACCAGGGATACAGCCAAAATACCAACAGGAAAGCACTGTCACAACTACAATGCAGACGTTCAAGCCATCAAAGAAAGCAGCAGAGAAACCACTAAATACTGAGTATATTTCACAACCAGTGACAGATGCAAAAGCCGTACTTCAGACACTCTAGTCCGACAAATTACCAGCTATATGGCCACTATTATCTGAACTAGGCAACCACTGTAAGGTCTGGATACCATTGCATTGGATACCATCCCACTGTGGAGTTCCCGGAAATGAAACAGCTGATAAATTAGCTAAGGAAGGTGCAAATGAAGAACAGCCTGGCGTACCAGACTCTCATTAACAGAAGAAGATAATAATCAAATCAAAGCCACCAAAACTAGCACAAGACGATTATCATAATATGGAAATACCATAGCAAGTCATCATTCTAAGCCTTCGAGCAAGGCACAATCGACTTCGCAGCCACATGTACACAAAATTTAAGACTGGCAAATCAGCCATGTGCACATGTGGACTGGCACCTGAAACAACAGATCATGTCCTCCAAGACTGTCCCAAATACAACATTTCCAGACAAAACTTCTGGCCAAGAGAGACACTGGTCGAAGCTGAACTTTACGGGCCGCTCAGTGACAAAAGACTATAGACGACAGCATTGTAGATATAGATAATTTATTTCAAGTGAAAGAAAGAAGAAGTCATGAGAAGTAAAGGCGGCCGGCGTGATGCTGATCACGTCACCCACCGAGAGCCGATTGGTCCTAAAACAAAGGTCTAGCCCTACATGCCCAATATACTTGAGGGCGTGGAAAAGGATCTTTTTTTTTTTACAAAGATAGCAGAACAGTTTCGACAGATGACTTCTGCAGCGATTTCTTATTGAGACTCAATTACTTATTGCGAAATATGTTTAAAAACATGAAATACAGCCTTAAAATGGCACATCCTGCTCTTAATCTCAGTCACAAATCTGTCATCTGAAGTTATAATCGGCATTAATAATTGAATCGATTGACGCTGTTAGGCATATTTTCTTTTATTGCAAGAGTACAGGGCTATTCACCTCATCTTAATCGCGGGCCAAAATGTTGAAAATGGGATCGAGCCAAGTGTGGCAAGATTATTAACACTACAACTGAGAAAACTGTCAATGTGTAAATTTAATACACTCTAAGACTGTTACGCCTAGGCGCCCTAGGGCCTAGCCTACGGTAATATAAATGAAACAGTGTTGTAAACCATTTTAATTCAAAATGTACTACAATCTTTTGTAATGATTAAACTCACTTTAAATTGAAATACACGTATTTCCAACATGTTTGAATAATAAATTAACGTTAGCATCGTCATTTCAGTTGCATTGTCATAATAAAAATAGTAATACAATTAATAATAACTGTCCACAGTTCGTTTCATATGGCTTTGTGCAGGGGAAAAAAAACGAAAGCTATGACACGGCAAAATGTAATTAGTGGGAAAAGTTGCATTTTCGTTTTTGAGCTAATTTTATAAAAAATTTGGTTGGTGAGAACAGCCTCTAACTCCGCTAAGACCGGTCCCAAGCCCGGCTGTAAAAGGAGGAG